AGCGCAGCAACAAAAAATCAAGAAAGGAAAAGCCAGAGGTGTTCTGAAAGCTGTGCGCCCGAGAGCTTTGCGGTCCCAGAGCCCTCATCCACGGCGCCATTCAGAGTCCAGCCTCCCATGGGTCTGTTCCTGGAGTGGGGCCTCCTTGGGTCTGGCCCAGGAGCCCTGTGAGTGTTTCCCACAGGCTTTCTGAAGAGCATGGGTGAGCAGGCCACTGTGGTATCTTTTCAGACTCTTACAGGGCCTCCTGGAGGAGCAATGGGGTCTCAGCAGGAAGAAGTTGGGAGGGATGCTGGCTTTAGGTGGACTCCCGGACTCCTGACATGTATGGAAGAGCAAATAAAGGATGTTCAGGGGAGAACCACATAGAATGTTCTGCAGAGCCCAGGGATCTCCTGGGGAAGAGAGTTCATTATCTTCCACACCCAGGGAGGACAGCCCTGTGTCCCCATTTCCTAGTTGTTTTTCTTCTTCTTCCTCTCCTACCTTAGACCCAGAAAGCCACTAGCAACTGAAGTGGGGGTGTTCATGACAAAGTGGGGATGTTCATGACGAAGATTTTCATGTCTGCATCCTAGAGACCCGTGGCCCCCAGCTCCATGCCTCAACAGGGGCAGGGGAGGATTTATCTTTGAAGGATGACGAATATATCACTTAACTGTCTTTGCCTGGACGCTCTACCTCCTGAGGGACAGTAGATTTTAGGGCCTGAAAGGAGCTTGCCAAAGCATGGGCAGGGGAAGACAACAGTTGGCACCGACTGGGGGAGCTGAAACAATGGGGTTGCCTTGGGTCATGTCCCAGGCCACGGGGGGGGGGGGGGGGGGGGGGATGTGGGGGAGATGGGGCCTGGTTTCACAGACTCAGGCTTTGTCCAGTAAACCTGAACCTCCCATTTCTTACCTGCCGCCCCTAAAGGCGGGGCCTCCACGTGAGAGGTTCCTCAGCCTTTCTTAGCTACTGTCTAGAGCCAAATAGTGTTTACTATCTTTTACTTCCTATCTGTCTGGAAATGACACGGAGTGTAGCAACAGAGAGAGGACTCCTTGTTCCAGCGCAGAACGCCCACACCCTGCGAACTCTTCACCCAGCCTTGGCCTGACTTCACCCGGGAGAGGGAGGGGGCGGAGAAGCTGGGCCCTGGCCGGAGGACAAGAAGCTCCTCTGCCTGGGAACAAAAGCTCTTTTTCTGGAAAGCTCAGAGCAAGTCAACTAGATGGGGGGGGGGGGGGGGGGGGGGGGGCTGCAGAAGGGAATGTGGGGACAGTTCTTCCAATGAAAATGTCCCCAGGGTAATAGAGCAGTGATCTGATGAGTCCTTTAAAAGTCTGGTTAGCTGTTGGCTCCTAGTCTTCCCCTCCTCACTGTCCTCGCACCAACACCAAGCTGAGGACGAACTCTGTTCTTAAAGAGACAGGCTTTATCCAGGCCAGCCTGGTCTACAGAGTGAATTCCAGGCTTTAGGGCTGGGAATGTAGTGGGCTGGTTGAGTGCCTGTGCCTGCCTAGTGTACTAAAAGTCCTGTTTGATCCTCTCGGTATTACAGAAACTGGGTGCAATGGTTCCTGGAAATCCCAACATGCAGGAGGAAGTGGAGGCAGGAGAACCAAGTGTTCAAGGTGGTTGTTGGTGGCACAGTAAATTCCAAGCTAGCCTGGGTTAGGCGTGGGCCTCGGCCAACAAACAAACCAAACAAACAAACAAAGGGGGGGGTGGACTGGAGCAACAGCTAGCTCCGTCTTGTCTTGCCCGCAGGAGGACTTGACTTGGAGTCTCAGAACCCATGGGGGGGGGGGGGGGTGAAGCTGGGTGCATGCTCTCGGGGATAGAGAGGGAGAGATGGGGGCATCTGGGGTTCACTGCAGCCTAGTCTAATCAGTCTCTCAGATCCCAGAGGGAGACTTTGTCTCAAAAAACAGGTAGATGTGTGCTGAAGGAGTGATAGAGAGGTCGCCCTCTGGCCGCCATGTACACGTGTGTGTACATACAGACACACAAGACACACAGATACATTATATATGTATACATATATAATTTTATTTATGTTTATGTGTATGAGTGTTTTGCCTGCCTGAAGGTCTGTGCACTGCAGGCATTCCTGGTTCCTGAACAGGCCAGAAGAACAAATCCCCTGGGGCTACAGTTTCAGATGGTTGTGAGCTGTCCTGTGGGTGCAGGGGATTGAAACCAGGTTCTCTGGGAGAGCAGCCAGTGCTTTTTACCCATGAGCCATCTCTCCAGCCCCCGCAGGTGCGTATTTATAGTGGGGTAGGTAGTTGTCCTTCAGAGGATAGGGGTCTCGCCTCCTTGCCAGAGATGTGACCACATAACTGCATTACACTGTATGAGCAAAAGAGAAGGATTGGGGGTGGGGGTGTTTGTTTGTTTGTTTTCAAGACAGGATTTCTCTGTGTAGCCCTGGCTGTCCTGGAACCCACTCTGTAGACTAGGCTGGCCTTGAACTTAGGAAGGCTTGTGTCACCACACCTGTCTCTAGTCTACGGTTTAAGACAGTGGTTTGCCTAATCCCGACTGCTTTATCTTTTCCTTGACTCAGAATGAGAATTTGCCTGAGATCCAGTTTTGGGCATACAAGTGAAAAATATCCTAGAAGAAGATACAAAACCAAAACAAAACAAAATCTGCTTTTCTGAATGACCACATGGAACAGAACCTTCTGCCAGCCTCTAGTGAGAAAGGCTTTTCAGAAACCACTAAGTTACTGTGTTTCATCCATTCTGAAAATCCAACTTTCCCTCACATTCTCTTTGGAGGTGCGGCACCATTGGCCAGACAGAGGTCATCAGAGGCCACATTCTGGTGTACCAAGTCCCAAGATTCTTTTTTTTTAAATGACTTGATGGAAAAATCTCCTGTTTGTATAAATAAATTCATTTAAAATTAACATATAAAATGTACAGGTCCTTGTGAGGAATAGTAATTTATTTATCAATGAAATTTAGAATACTGGGTAGAGAAGAACTGTGCACATATTTATTTATGATACCATAAATGCATAAGAAGGTTCTTCCTAGTGGCCTGGCACTATTTCTTTCTATTTCAATCCAGAATCCATATTTTGGTCATTTCATTGCTCCCACAATGAAAACAATAGCAACACACCTCCTTGTTAGCTAAATACCCTTGTACATGCTATTGTTCATAAGGAGTCTTTCTCTGCCCCACCAGTGAGCTCCCAAATAATGACACAGAGACTTCTTATTAATTAGGAAAGCTTGGCCTGTAGCTTAGGCTTATTCCTAACTAGTTCTCATATTGGAAATTGATATATATATATATATTTAATATAGAATGCTTCACGAATTTTCGTGTCATCCTTGTGCAGGGGCCATGCTAATCTTCTCTGTATCGTTCCAATTTTAGTATATGTGCTGCCGAAGCGAGCACTGACCCATATTTTTTAATCGTTGTTCTACCATGTGGCTTTTTACCTTTCTTTCATTCTTTTTTTTTTTTTGTTTTTTTTTTTGGTTTTTCGAGACAGGGTTTCTCTGTGGCTTTGGAGCCTGTCCTGGCACTAGCTCTTGTAGACCAGGCTGGTCTCGAACTCACAGAGATCCGCCTGCCTCTGCCTCCCGAGTGCTGGGATTAAAGGCGTGCGCCACCACCGCCCGGCTCCTTTCTTTCATTCTTCACCTCCAACTTATTCTGCCTCTCCTCGCTCTCCTCTGTGTGCCTAGATTCATCGCCAGTTCCTCTCTTTGCCTGGAAGTCCCGCCTATTTTCCCTGCCTATCTATTGGCTGTTTAGCTCTTGATTAAACCAATCACAGTGACACATCTCTGCATAGTGTAATCAAGTATCTCGCAGCAATTGTTCCTTTAGGAGAACCACACCAAGGTCCTATTTAAGTCTTTCTGTGCCTTTGTTCCATAACATTGGTGGTTAACAAGGCTTTGTCTATATCCTGGCCATTGCATTTCCTGCGAAAGTGATGTTCTACGTCCTTTTAATAGAGAGCCCATGTGCAGTCCAGAGACTTTATAATGGTTTGTCCTGTCCCTTTAAGAGACATGCCACGCCCACCCCCACCCCCATCCACTGAGGCAAGCTGATCTTTAGCTTCCAGTCTGAGTCCCTTCTTTTTTTTCTCTCTCTCTCTCTCTTTCTCTAAGAGACAGTTTCTGTCTCCCCCTTCTCCTTACTTCTTCCCTTCCCCCCTCTCTGTTTCTCTCTCTCTCTGCTCTCCCCCCTTCTCCCCTTCCCTATCATAACCCACTAAATACATATCCAGCTTCACTCTGCATGGCATGTCTATCCATCTCCGTCTCTCACCCACCACGTGGCTTCCTGCCTGGGACCTGGCTGCCTTCATGGCCCACCGTGGGACCTGTGGCATGGTCTCATGGCCCGTTGCACACTGCCGCCACTCGGGGACCTGCAGCATTTTACTTAAACCATAACAGACTTTCTTTGGCCAAAGCTAATGCTGAAAGAGGGATGTTGAACAAGTAACAATGTACCAAAGCACTTCCGGTTTTACTAAAAGCCATCTGCTAGTTTCTTCTCCCAGGTGGAGAGGGAGTTGTTGATTTGTTTTCCACACAGGTCTGTCTCATGGCTTCTCAGGTCACAGTCTGGTCCATTTTCATTGCTAAAGAGCCCCACGTTCCAGTCCGTTCAGAGACATGTCTTCCATCTGGGGCCACCCTGTCCTTCAGATATTCAGTGAGAAGTCCTCGCCAGTCACACACTTCATTGCCTCTGTCCTGGGCATTCCCGGTGCTGGAATCAATCAGGGGACTGGCTGTGCTTTGCAAGCGGAAACTGCCTCATGTGTCAAATATGTGGAATAAAGGAGATGAGAGGGGCCCGAAGGGGAGGGTGAGTGCCCACATGGCCAGCCTGAGGGACGTGGGAGCTTATACTGCTTTCCCCCCACCCAGCCAGGAAAACCATAAACAAAGCCAGCAGAGAACACGTGAATGGGTGAACAAGGGGTTGCCAGATGGCCAGGCGCACACGCTGTACACAAAAAGCCAAAGGAGCCGGGGTTACAGCTGAGCTGGAAGAGCACTTAAATGGCATGCATGAGATCCTTGGTTCAATCCGCAGAAAACAAAAACAAAACCCAAAAACCGAAACCATGTACTGTGGTTCAACCCTTGGGAGGAGGCAGAGGCAAGAGGATGAGTCATTGAGGGCCGACCTCAGCTGCTTAGAGGTACACAAGACCTTATTTAAAAAAAAAAAAAAAGCAATAGCAAAGGGAGAGAGTTCTGAATGGGAAGAGGTGGCATGGGAAAGATTCCAAGACGAAAGGTGGCCGGGGGGAGTCAGGCTGTGTGGTGCTGAGTGCGGTAAGGGTTCTGTGAACCGAAAGTGGACCCTTGGCAAAAGCAGCATGCACTCTTCACTGTTGAGCCATCTCTCAGTTTTATCTAATAAATTTATTTGTGTATATGATGTGTGTGTATGTGTATGGTGGGTATATATGATATGTGTGTGTATGGTGTGTGTGTGCGTGTGTGTGTGTGAGTGTGTGTCTGTGTAGAAGTCAGAGGACAACTCTTAGGAGGTGGGTCTTGCCTTCTACCTCTCTGAAGCTGGACCCCTCTTGTTTCTTGCTTCTGAACTTGTGAGCATTCTAGGCTATCTGGCTTTTTTTAAATGTGGGTTCTGGGAATTGAACTGTTTCTCAGGGTAGCCCATTTTACATTTTTTCTTCCTTTTTTTTTTTTTTTTGAGACAGGGTTTCTCTATGTAGGTAATGTAGATCAGGCTGGCCTTGAACTCACAGGGACTCAAGAGTTCTGGTGTTAAAGGTGTGTGCCACTATTCTTGTCTTTGTTTGTTTCTTTGTTTTGTATAAGAACATAGTCTGGTCTACAGAGGGAGATCCAGGACTACACAGAGAAAGCCTGTCTTGAAAACAAACAAAGAAAAAAGAAAAAAGAAAGAAAAGAAAAAAGAATTGAAACCACATGTCACCGCACCCTTTCCTCTCTTTACTTCTGGTGTTTTGCCACGGCTGATGGAGGCTATCATAGCAGGAGCCCAGCTTGTAGGAAGCAGGCCTGGTAGTCTCCCGCCATCGGACGTAGCTCCGCCCACCTCGCCTTCCGTCTAGCATACTCGCGTGCGTGGTCCGTCACGCTCTGACATTTGCTTTCAGGGTGATAACATTTCTCTCTTTGTCGTTTGTGTTTTCAGGATAGAAGTAGCTGGCTTTGTGTTGGCTTCTTTTCTGGGGCTGGGAGTGGGTGTTTCTACGGAGAAAATTCTTGTGGCACAAGAACAACACGAGGGAGGCGTTACACTTGGAACTCCGCCACCGCCATGCTCATGGGAAAGCACCTCTCGACCTCTCGGGGTCCCTGTGAAGTGGCTCTTCCCTACCCTAATGTCTATTAGAAAACCTCTTTGTTTTAAATTGTCACCACTATTTTAAAATTTTGTTTTGAGGCAGGGTTTCATGTATTCTAAACTGACCTTGACATCGCTCTGTTGCTGAGGATAATTTAACTTCTGATCCTCCCGCCTCTCCCTTCGGGTGTTGGGATTATAGGAGCAGGCTGTCATATCCAGTTCTATGCTGGTACTGGGACCAAACCTAGAGCTTCCCACAGGCCAGGCAAGTACTCTACCAACTGAGTTTCATGACGTCCAACTTCCAAGAGGAGCATTGAAGAGTGGGGTGGCGATGGTGGTGGCACCTGCCTTTAATTCCAGCAGAGGCAGGCAGATCTCTGAGTTCAAGGCCAGCCTGGTCTACAGAGCAAGTTCCAGGACACCAAGAGCTACACAGAGAAACTCTTGTCTTGAGAAACAAAACAACAACAACAACAAAAACCAGCAAAGCAAAGAAAAACAAAACAAAGGAGTGGGGTTGTATACTTCACGTAGGTTGTTGTTAGACAATGTCTCATATAGCAGAGGCTGGCCTTGAGCTTCTCGTACTCCTGAGTGCTGGGATGTCACCTCTATGCCTAACACATCATCTTTAAGTTAAACTAACACTTGACATAGTCTTTTTTTTTTTATAAAAATGTGTAACCCAGGCTGGCCTCGAACTCGTGATCCTCCTGCCTCTGCCTCCTTCAGCAAATCCTACTGGCGTGCATCACCACAAATGGCCACTTGACATCGTCTTTAAGTTAAAATAAATATTTAATTTAAAGATTCATTTATTACATATGTAATATTCTGCCTGCATGTATCCCTGCAGGCCAGAAGAGGGCGCCAGATCTCATTACAGATGGTTGTGAGCCACCATGTGGCTGCTGGGACTTGAACTCAGGACTTCTAGAAGAACAGCCAGTCCTCTTAACCTCTGAGCCATCTTTCCAGCCCTTAACCTTTATTTTTATTTTTTTCTGTGTATGGTTATTCTTACTGCATGTATGACTGTTTACTATGTACATGTAGTGCCCTTGATTGGATCCCCTAGGATTGGAGTTACAAAAAAGTCACGAGCTGCCATATGGCTACTAGGAACCAGACTTAATTTCTCTGGAATAGCAACCAGTACTCTTAACTGCTGAGCCATCTCTCCAGCCCTCCATTTAAAGCTTTAAAAAAAAAAAACCTTTATTTTTAGCATTTGTTTATTCATGAGCTTGTGTTTATGTATGTATATGTCTGTAGAAATGTATGTCACGTGCATGCGGGAACTCTTGGAGGCCAGATCCCACAGAGGTGGAATTATAGGCATTTGTGAACTTCCCTACTTGGGCCCTGGGTTCTGAACTCATGTCCTCTGAATGACTAGTAAGTGCTCTTAAGCACTGAGAAGTTTCTCTGTTCCCATTTTAAAGTTATACAAGGAATGAACCTCGAACATGCCTAGGTTTTATGGATGCTGGAATGGGATTTCCAGAATGTCACCAGCCTTCTCAGCTGGCCCAAAGAATAGCAATCATTTGTACTGACTGGTTTACTCTTGCTCCTTTTTTGTGGGTAGAGGGAAGGTTTGAGTTTTATTGGAGTTGTTTAAGTGATAGGTTCCCTGGGAAGAAGAGAAGAACAATGGGGAGGAATTAATCACCTGTTTGCCACTCTCCATCCTAGCTTGCACAGCTTGCTTTTAGCCCCAGTAAGGGAAAAGCTGGAGTGAGAAAAGGAGAAGGAATTGTGTAAGATTTTGAGCAAGTAAAATCACAAGCATGTAGACAGAGACAGAGGTTTCTGTCCCACCCAATCCTGCCCCATCAGGCAGTCGTTCAGTCACACAGAGCTCTATATTAATTATAAACTGATTGGCATATTAGTCCACACTTCTTATTGACTCTTATAACTTATATTAGCCCATAATTCTTGTCTGTGTTAGCCACGTGGCTTGGTACCGATTTCAGCGAGGCAGTCACATCTTGCTTGCTCTATGGGTGATGACTGCAGACTGAAACTTCCCTCTTCCCAGAATTCCCGTTGCCCCGCCTCTACTTCCTGCCTGGCTACTGGCCATCAGCGTTTATTTAAAATACAGGTGACAGGGTACAGACCATTGTCCCACAGCACAAGCAGTTTTGCTTTGTTTCTTTTGGGCCTTTTGAGGTAGAGTCTCACTATGCAGCCCTGGATGGCTTGGAACTTGTTATGTAGACCAGGCTGACCCCAAACTCACAGAGATCTGCCTGTCTACCTTCTGAGTGCTGGGATTAAGTTCATCAAGTCCAACTAGTTAAAAAAGTACACCACCAGTGTGTGTGAGGTCCAACTAGTTAAGGAAGTACACTACAGTGTGTAAAAGGGTAGTATATCCCTTTGAGTCTAGCACGTGGGAGGCAGAGGCAGGAGAATCTCCGTGAATTCGAGTCCAGCCTGGTGGATATAGGGAGTTCCAGGACATCCAGGACAACTTAGAAAGACCCTTTCTCTAAATAAATACACAAAGAAATAAGATGATAATATTCTAAGAAAAGAAAACAGTACACACTCAGTGAGAGGGTTGTTGCCTCTTCCTGCCTTCCTCTTTGGCAACTTGCTGACCTACGGAGGCCTTAGCAGAGAGGGGAGAGAATATTTGTTCCCAGCAGAGAGATGATGTTCTTACAGAGGCGTTCCTTTTTACAGGGTTTACAGGTCACCGGAGAAGCTGAAGTAGAAGAACATAGTTGGTTTGCTCCTGAGCCCTAGAGGGCTTTCCAGAAACAGCGTGACAAGGAGACCTTCCGGAGAGGCTAATGACGTGTAGGCTGGGACACAGAGAGGTACAATCGGGATGTTGAAGTTCGGCATTCTAAGATACCAGGCCTTCTTTCTTCTATAGGTGGGTCATAATAAAATTCTGTCTTTAGCAATGACACCATGAAAAATGCCGTGGGCTCCTTGGTAAAGTGCATACTTGTCGCTTGCACAAGGCTACAAAGCAGGCCTTGGGTTCATTCAATCCCTAACCCTGAAACCCCTGAAATCAAAAGGGGCTTGGGGTGTGTTCTGGAAGCCCTGGGTTTGCTCTCCAGCACCACAGGCATTCCAGGAGGATCAGACAGATGTTCAAGGTCAACTTCAGCTAGAGAGGGAGTTTAAGGCCAGTGTGGATTACATATCTCAAAATATAAACATAGAATAAATAAATAGGGGCTAGAGAGATGAGTCAGTAGTTAAGAGCACAGGCTTCTCTTCCAGGGGACTGGGTTTGATTCCCAGCACCTGCGTGACCACTCTCAACCACCTGCAACTCCAGATCCAGGGGATCCTATACCCTCTTCTGACCTCCCAGGGCGCCAGGCACACATACTCACACGGTGCATAGGTTAAAAAAAAAAAAAGAATAAAATAAAAATAAATTGAAAAGTAAATAGATAAAACTTACAGAACAGCATTGGGGACTAGTTGATTGCCCAGCCCCCCACTTCTTGGAGGGCTCTTTAGTTAAAAACGAGGGATATCTCTGTCCCCACAGCAGCACCTAGAGAAAGCTTGCTGTAGCGCTTCTGAATGGAAAGAAAATAGGTTTTTGTTCTGTGTTAGGGACAATGAATCAGATAGGATTGGATATAGGCTTCTGAGGCAAAATTTTTGCTATTTCAGCTGAAGAAGAAGATGCTCTGAATAAATGGCGAATACGGAATATAGATTATAGCCGTGAAGGGGTTGCCGGCATCAAAGGGCAGCAGAGTATCTGTCCTAGGTCCACTTCAACATTTTTTTTTATTTTATTTACTTGTCTTGGGGGATGGGCAAGAACATGCCATAGCACGCATGTGGAGGTTAAAGGACGACTCTGTGCTTTGATTTTCTGCTTCCCCACTGTGTATCCTGAGATTGGTTCAGGGGATGGAACTGTGGCTGTCAGCTCGACAGCAGGAGCCATTACCATTGCTTTTTGGTTTTGTTTTTGAGGGAGATGTGGGTGCTGGGGAGCGAATCCAGGTCCTCTGCAGGATCAGCAAGTGTTCCTAACCTCTTAGCCGTCTCTCCAGCCTCAGGCTCTTTTCCTAACTTTGACATTAAGCTGTTAGTTATCTTCACATTGACAATTGGTCGACTTGCTTTGCAAACCCTTATCATATTTTCCAGAAGAGCACACGGATTCAATTTGAGTCATTCTTTACTCCTTTGGTCCAGACAGACTCTCTGGGCATGGTATCAAGGTCCCCATCCCTTCATGGCAGATTTCTGCATCCCTGGTTGATCTCTGGTTGCCCAAGGGGCATGGATGCAGATGGTGGACTCCTGGGTCGCCACCTCGTTGATGATGGCGTACAGTCCTCCCTCTATTGCTCCCTGTCGGTCTGAGTTAGAAAGGATCAAAGAGGCAGTCACATTGCTCCCAAGCAGACAAAGAAAGGTAGGGAAGAGGCTCCTTTAAACTGCAATGTGTAAAATAGAGGTGCAGGCGGTGAGCACCGCAGCAGCAATTACGCTGAAAGACTGCGGTACAGGCTGGCGCTGGGCTGCGCCAGCCTATCAGACAGCGGCTGCAACACGTTCCTACAAGAGCCTTTTAAGAGCTGCTAATTATTTAGATTCCAGTAGGAGCTGGGTCTTAAAAGTGATTGTGAACTGATTACAGCTTTTTGAACTGATTGCAGCTGTAAGTTAGAAAGGCAGGAATCTATAAAAGTGAAAAAAAAAAAACCCATCCTTTGATCAAACACAAAGGAATTATCCTAAATAAAAATACCTTTCTATCGCATATACACATTTGTTTCACACATGTAAACAAGCAATTCCTATACATATCAAAGATGTAAGCAATTATATTCATTATTCCCCGCCACCTCCGGGGCGGGGGACCACGCCCTGGGTTTTGTGTGTGCTGGGTAAATGCTCTACCATTGAGCTGTGCTCCCCACCTATCTACACAAAATTTCGAGTTGGCTAAGAACAGGGGCCACACTTGTTCATCCTCAGAATTCTTTATAGTGTGTAGAGTGCTTTGTGGAACATGGGAAGCATTTATTGAATTGAATTGAATTGGAGCATTTGCTGTGTTAATAATCAGAGCAAATAATTGTCATTTATTGTGATAATGAACCACCCTAGCGTGAATGCCGAAGGAAAAGCAAGACAAAGATCATTTAAATAGCTTCGGAGCTGGGGAGAGACATACCTATTTTTTTTTTCCCAGAGACCCAAGAAAAATATGCAAATGTTCTTGAGAGGAAAGCCAACCACTCCATATACCACAACAGAGACCGTGTTGATTGCTCTACTGGAGTTGCTAGGCAACCACTTGGTAATTCCCCTCGTAATAGAGATGAGCCTGTCGTCTGCTTTCTTGGCTGGCTGTGACACGGGGAGACAACAGGTAAAGGACAGCTGAGAACACCTGCACCTGGATGACACCATCACCCCTGCTGGGGTGTGATGACACTGGAGAAAATCCCCATGCCCTGTCACAAGTTGCTGCAGGGAGAATTTCATCAGACTATTATTACGTGGCATTGCCATGAGTTCTCCCGGATTCACCCCGTGGGCAGATCCTGTGGGTGATCCTGTTATCTCTGACCACAAAGCCGAAGACCAAAAGCACTGCGGCTCTGCAGGTGGATGGCTGTCACTTCAATGAGGGCTCCGGATCCTGTCCCCGGGCTCCAGTGGATGAGGCTTACACTAGATAAAAGCAGCTTTTCAAGTCTTAAAAGGGACACGGGTAAACTACAAAGAGACCCAAGTTCTGGGTGAGCAGTTCACACTTTTTACACCAGTAGAAAAGACTTCTTAATGATGTCTTTGTTTTTGTATGGTTTCCAAGGTGCATGGTGGCCTTGTAAGGAATCCACTGAGCTGCAGGTCTTGACACCGTCACCATCTTCAAAACAGGTTGAAAACATGATAAAGCATGGGGCGGGGGGGATGAATGCTTTATCTGTCTCAAATCTTCTTTGACATTAAGCAAGGAAAAGAGAATTTAAATTTAAATTAGGAGGACTGACTTTTTCATTCAAATTTTCAAAAGGTTGTCCCCACCCAAATTAAAAAAAAAAAAAAGCCATCCAGCCTATGGTATTTGAGTCTTTGGAAACTGATTGCTTGCTTTCCAGCCTTCGTTTTGAGATCTTGGGCTCCAAGATTAGGCAATCAGCCCCTGAGAAGCAAGTTCTGGACGGAGATATACCCTCCAGGTAGTCCTGATGAACAACTGGGCAGGACTTCATCCTAACATCAGGCAGCTGCTAGTTCAGCCCGTTGAGGTGCTGTCCCAGCTATGGCAGGAGAGGAGCTGGTCAGAAGAAGAGACACTTATGCCCTTCCCTTTGGCTATCAGGCTATTGAAACAATAGACTCCAGATAATTAAAATTTCCCCAGGAATCCCATGCTGGTGGAAGGGAAAGACTTAAGTCCTGGCACCAGCTAGCTAGAGGAACTTGTTTCCCAGGAAGACATTCCACAGGGCTCTGACAACTCCACGTTGCAGATTTCCTGACTTATTTCATCTTATCTATAGAGCTGTAATGCTGCTACGGAGGAAGTGGAGAGAAACTAGGAGTCTCTCTTCCTGGTTTGGTCAAACTGTAAATAAACTTAATTTCCTTTATCAATTTCAGGCTCTTAGTTCTTTTTTGTTTGCATATATAAATTTGTGTGTGCGTATGTGCACATATGTGTGTGCACACGAGAGCTAGAGGACACCTTGAGTGTTGGTCTTCAGGAGCCATCTATCTCAACTTTAGAGAAAAGCTCTCACTGGGAGCCGGAACTAGCAGATTAATGCTGGCCTACCTGGCCAGAAGCCCCAGGCATCCCCTTTGTCTCTATCTCCCCTATGGTGGTTTGACTGAGAATGGCCCCCATAGGCTCATATATTTGAGTCCCGGTTGGTGGACCTGTTTAGGAAGGATTAGGAGGTGTGGTTTTGGAGGAGGTGTGTCACTGGGGATGAGCTTAAGATTTCAAAAGCCCACACCAGATCTAGTCTCACTATCTCTGCCTGCCTGCAGATTCAGGATGTGAACTCTCAGCTACTGCTCCATGGCTGTGCCTGCCTGCCTGTCACCTCAGTCTCTCCACTGTGATGATCATGGACTAGATTTCTGAGACTGTGAGCAAGCCCCTATTTACATGCTGTTTTTCTATACCTACCCTTGGTGACAATGTCTTCACAGCAATAGGACAGTAATGAAGACATCATCCTTGCTGAGACTGCAGGACATACTCATGCCTGGCTTCTTATTTGGATGCTGGAACATCACACTTTCATGTACTTTTTTGACTGAGTTATCCACCCAGCCCTTCAGTCTCCTAATCTTTTAAGATATAGGGTAGTGATGGAGCAGGTTCGGTGAGTCTTAAACAGACCCAACTGGCCAACCCTTGGAGTGATACCTTCACAGATCCAAACCAGTCTACCTCCTCCAGGAGTGTGTGGTACAGTTCTTAGGAATGTTTTGGTCTGTCACACAGACACTACGCATGTCCGCTCTACTGATATTCTTCATAGACTCTAAATGCCATCCGCCCTGAGCTAGATCAAATTTAAGGAGGCATTTTTTTAAAAGATAAAAACAAAAAACAGGTAATGTTTACGTGTGTGAGTGTTTTGCCCGTGTTTGAGCACCATGGGCATGCAGTATCTGAAGAGACCAGAAGATAGTGCCAGACCATCTGGGACTGGAGTGTAAGCTGTTTGTGAGCAGACATATGGGTGCTGGGAATCGATAAAGGGTCCTCTGGAAGAGCAGCCAGTGCTTTTAACCTCTGAGCCATCTCTCCAGCTCCTCAAGAGCATTCTTGAGCAAATGATCAGAATGGAAAAAAAAAACCCACAAATGATTCAGAGAGACAAGAATAGTGGGGTTTTGGTGATTCTTTTCTAGAATCATGAGTGTGGAACAGAGTCTGGAGAGTGACTTTCCTCTCCCTCTCATTCCCTTTCCCGTCTCCCTCTCTGCAGGGTCTCATGAAGCTCAGGGCAGCCTTGAATGTTCTATGTGTCAGAGACTGAGTATTTGAATGTGAAAGGAGTCTAGAGTACCAGCAAGGAGAGAGAAAGCAAGCTAGTTGCTTGGGAGGAATTTCCTGGTCCCGGACTCGGACACAAAACTGTGCCTGAATGTTAGCCCCCTGACTGTATCTGGACATTGTCCTCCTCATGATCCTGCTTTTCCAGATTGCCACTATGAAGACCAGTGGAGAAGTAACGTGGCTGCTGAGGGGAAAGAGGCCGTGCGTCCTTCTACTTCTGACCTGTCCATATCTGTGCCCGTGTGAGACTGTCGGTGCTGGAGAGCTGCCTCTCCCCTCAGCATGACTCTGGCACTCCAGTGCACATGTGTGTCTACCACACCAGCAGACCCTCCATTTCACAGGTGTCTACCACACCAGCAGACCCTCCAGTGCACACACGTGTGTCTACCACACCAGCAGACCCTCCAGTGCACACGTGTGTCTACCACACCAGCAGATCCTCCAGTGCACACACGTGTGTCTACCACACCAGCAGACCCTCCAGTGCACACACGTGTGTCTACCACACCAGCAGATCCTCCAGTGCACACACGTGTGTCTACCACACCAGCAGACCCTCCAATGCACACACGTGTGTCTACCACACCAGCAGATCCTCCAGTGCACACACGTGTGTCTACCACACCAGCAGACCCTCCAGTGCACACACGTGTGTCTACCACACCAGCAGGCCCTCCAGTGCACACACGTGTGTCTACCACACCAGCAGACCCTCCAGTGCACATACGTGTATCTACTACACCAACAGACCCTCCAGTGCACATGTGTGTCTACCACACCAGCAGACCCTCCAGTGCACACGTGTGTCTACCACACCAGCAGATCCTCCAGTGCACACGTGTGTCTACCACACCAGCAGACCCTCCAGTGCACACACGTGTGTCTACCACATCAGCAGGCCCTCCAGTGCACACGTGTGTCTACCACACCAGCAGACCCTCCAGTGCACACACGTGTGTCTACCACACCAGCAGACCCTCCAGTGCACACACGTGTGTCTACCACACCAGCAGACCCTCCAGTGCACACACGTGTGTCTACCACACCAGCAGATCCTCCAGTGCACACACGTGTGTCTACCACACCAGCAGACCCTCCAGTGCACACACGTGTGTCTGCCACACCAGCAGATCCTCCAGTGCACACACGTGTGTCTGCCACACCAGCAGACCCTCCAGTGCACACGTGTGTCTACCACACCAGCAGACCCTCCAGTGCACATGTGGGTCTACCACAACAGCAGATCCTCCAGTGCACACGTGTGTCTACCACACCAGCAGACCCTCCAGTGCACACGTGTGTCTACCACACCAGCAGACCCTCCAGTGCACACACGTGTGTCTACCACACCAGCAGACCCTCCAGTGCACACACGTGTGTCTACCACACCAGCAGATCCTCCAGTGCACACACGTGTGTCTACCACACCAGCAGACCCTCCAGTGCACACACGTGTGTCTACCACACCAGCAGACCCTCCAGTGCACACACGTGTGTCTACCACACCAGCAGACCCTCCAGTGCACACGTGTATCTACCACACCAGCAGACCCTCCAGTGCACACACGTGTATCTACCACACCAGCAGACCCTCCAGTGCACACACGTGTGTCTACCACACCAGCAGATCCTCCAGTGCACACACGTGTGTCTACCACACCAGCAGACCCTCCAGTGCACACACGTGTGTCTACCACACCAGCAGATCCTCCAGTGCACACACGTGTGTCTACCACACCAGCAGACCCTCCAGTGCACACACGTGTGTCTACCACACCAGCAGACCCTCCAGTGCACACGTGTGTCTACCACACCAGCAGACCCTCGCTCTACTAATTGGCCAGCATCAATAATGCCAGGTACTGCCGGGCGGTGGTAGCACACGCCTTTAATCCCAGCACTCGGGAGGCAGAGGCAGGCGGATCTCTGTGAGTTCGAGGCCAGCCTGGTCTACAAGAGCTAGTTCCAGTACAGGCACCAAAGCTACAGAGAAATCCTGTCTCGAAAAACCAATAATAATAATAATAATAATAATAATAATAATAATAATAATAATAATGATGCCAGGTACTGATTAAGACTAGAGGATGTTACAGATGGCCAAGGGAAATCAGAAAAATGCAATCACTGGCTCCCAAATGCTGGTCCAGGAACCGATCCAGTCCTTGCGTTTTTTTTCTGGTCCTTGGTAAAGCTGGAGAAATGAGAACGTGTCTCTAGTTTTGCATGACTCTGATTTCTGAGACAGGGTTTCTCTGTGCAGCCCTGACTGTTCTGGAACTTGTATTGTAGAGCAAGCTGACCTCCAACTCAGCCTCCTGAGTGCTGGGATTAAAGGTGTACACCACCATGCCCATCTTGAAATTATCCAATTTTTACATTGTGATTATACCTACATCTTTCATATAGGGGATCTCAAGATGCCTTTTCTTTTATAAATTGATACTGAAAGAAGCTGGGATTTGAAACTAGTTATTTTGGATGGTTTCCTTGGTTCATATTACTAGTATCTTGTAAATGATTTTTAAAATAACTGTTAATTTTTTTTTTTTTGGTTTTTCGAGACAGGGTTTCTCTGTGGCTTTGGAGCCTGTCCTGGAACTAGCTCTGTAGACCAGGCTGGTCTTAAACTCACAGAGATCCGCCTGCCTCTGCCTCCCGAGTGCTGGGATTAAAGGCATGCGCCACCATCGCCCGGCTAATAACTGTTAATTTAAAATTCAAGTCTATGTATTAATTATTAAACACTGGGATCTTTCCCCAGCCCCTATCTCTAGAGTAGCTTTGACCTTTTGGGCTCAAGTCATCCTTCTGCCTCAGCCTCTCAAGTAGCTAGGATTATAGGAATGTACCACCAAGCCTGACAAAATGATTATTATTTATAAATATTTGAAAGTATACCAGGCATAGTAGCTCACAGCTGTAGTTCCAGTGTTAAGGAGGCAGAGGCAGGAGAACTACTGTGAGCTTAAAGTGGGGTCAGCGTGGGTTACAAAGTGAGTACCAGGCCGGGCCAGACACAGCTACATAGTGAGAGATAACCTACAAATAAAGAAAAATTAAGAGTTGAAAGGTATATATATATATATATATATATATATATATATATATGTGTGTGTGTGTGTGTGTGTGTATAATATTAATATAAAATCTCACACACATGTACATACATACATGTATACATACACAATCCACACCTCACATGAAACTAAACAGTCAAATCCTCATATGGATAGGTGATAATTTATTGAAGTAGACTGGACAGAGTTGAGATTTCTAACCCACCTCTGCTTGCAGGGAGAAATCTAGTCTCAAATTCTAGTGCAGCATTTAAGGTATCATGTCTCCCCCTGCTGGAGATGGTATTGGTAAAATAAGTCTTGAGCCTCCAGCGGTACTGGGGAGGATTCAAACTGCTAAGACCTGAAAGTCAAAGGACTCATGCTTCAAAATCTCTTCTACATTATTAGGGACCTTAGCCCAACCAAGAATCTTAGAACAATGATTGAAGGCCCCAGGCCACAGAAACTATCCATTCAGGGGCCAATTTACAACCCTGGGAAATCAATAAAGGAAGAAAAAAAAATGATTTGGCTACCCAACAATATCCTATCTTCCTTTATGAATTTCTTCATATAGACTCATAGAGTAAAATACTTATAAAATTACGTTTATCCATACATACCACTGATTTTATTTTGAAATGCAAGTAGCTGTCTGCTAATATGCAAGGGAAATCTGATTTATTTTCCCCTTTTGATGTCCAAGACAAAGTCATTCCTCACGGCTCTGCATATTTTATTTGCTCATTTCCGTCCGTGTGCACTATCCCACTTCCGTTACTGTAAAATGACTTTCATCTGTACTTACAGCTTTACCTAGTGTCTTCCCCTTTCAATAATGACTCAAGCTGAATAAATTTTTCTCCTTTGCTTTTATTGATTTGTTCACTTTTTTGGCACTTACATTTTCTCATGTTGGTTATTTGACCGTTTTATTTCAAGCGTTTAATCTTTAAGGTGTTTGAAGCAAGGATCGTTTTTAGTTAAGGGCAGTATGTCTTCCCTGTTAAGCCCAGTCCTTGCAGCTGTGTCAGAGGCACAAAATTCAGTTCCTTGGTGTACAACCAAGGGCACGGACGCCATGCAATTTTTGAGGCGTCCTGAGAAATGCACGTAAAGCTACAGGCTCTTAATCATGTGATAATGGTTAACCACTGTTTTCATTTCCTCCATTTCCCAAACAACAGCCTTACACGGTGCAGGCATTCAACTATTACTTGCTGGGAGGGCTTATGCTAATAAGTACATTCATGCTAATACATTAGCCTCATCTGTGTCTGGACGAATAATGTGATTAACTATGACCTTTAAGCAGCTTGGATTAGCAATGCAGGACCATTCGCCGTCTAGATCCGCAAGGTTCCAATTTAACTATCTGTAGTGCCAAGAACATGCGATAATCTTCGCTGTCCAATAAAGCAGTCATTAGCTGCATGTGGTCCCTGAGCTCTTGACACCGCTAATGCGGCCGAAACCGTAACACCTTCATTTTATTTCATGTTTAACAGCACTTCCTGGAGTACCGGGTTGGACAAAGATAGCTCCAGAACCAAGTTCGAACAGTCCTCCTTTTAAGCTGTGAAGCACTTCTCTTAGGGATTATGCTCATTTTTGTGCCACCCTTTCCCTTCATGGTATTCGAGGGGCAGCTTCCCAGGGCCAGGTACGGGACATCGTCTATAAAACCCGACATCTCCCACAGCCCGGGCAAAGCGAGGCAAACATCAAATGGCATGAAGTCATCCCACTAATTTTGCGTCTAGCCCTCGTGCACGGTCTGGAGGGTTGACGGGAAAGCAAACCAGGCGACAGGCGTGGCAAAAATGTGAGCGAGCCGCAGGGCCACCGCGCCGGGCTGCGAGCCCGCGGGAGTCCTCCCACGCTAGGCGCTGAGGCCACCCCAGGCCCGGCGGGTCCGGTTCCGGGCCCCAGGAGACACACCCCGAGAGTAGCTTCCCCTCAGAGTCCCCAGACGAACCCCGACTCCTGCCGGGTGGCTAGAAGCCACCACCCCTGCCCTCAACATCCAGCCCTAGGTGCCTGCTCTCAACACAATAACTGGAGGAACGCGACAAAATGGCGGCGAAGCCGTAGGTGCCGACCATAGAGAGGACCTCCGCGGCGGAGAGAGCGCCGCAGGTCTTCCGGCGTAGAACGGGAAAGCGGGGGGGGGGGGGGGGGGGAGGGGGGGGGGGAGGGGAGGGGGGGGGGACGGCGCGGGTCTCCAAGTGCCCGTCTAGAAGCACAGCGCGCAGTCTCCGTGGTGCTGGTTCCGCGGAGCCGGGTCACGTGACCGGCGAAAGCCGTCGCGGAGGCCGAAGGGGTGGAGAAATGGGCGGGAGGCCTGGGGGATAGCTAGAGACCCGGCGAATACCGGGTTGTCATGGAGTCGTGGGGCCCGGCTCGCGCATGCGCCGGCTGACCCGCCGGGCTGGTGGTGGAGCGGCGACCCTGGCCGTAGGTGAGACAGGCAGGGCTCGCTTGACTCTGGGCACAGCGGTGGTTGTTGTGTGGTGGGGGAACTGGGATGGCGACACTGGGAGGCTGGGACTGGAAGCACCGAGAAAGCAGGTGGGAGAGGAAAGAGAGCCGAGTGGACACAAAGGAGAACCAGGACTTTTGGAGAACGGGGGCGCCAAATATTGGGAGCAGAGGGACTCGCCATCCCTGGCTTGCTTCTAGTCGGTGTGCCGTCAGGGACGGGCCCGCGTGGGATAGGGAATCTGGGGTGAGGCCGAGACGGTGTGTTTGTCGGGAGGGGCCTCGTGTGAGGGGCAAGTGGTGTGAGTCCCTTAGGGCACGTGTGCCCTGGCCTGGCCCTGCATACCCAGGCTCCTGCGGGAGGAGGAGAGCCTGAAGGCTTGCCGGGCTGTAAGCAGAGAGGTCTGGGAACGGGCCGGTTGGTGGGCATGAGGGCTGCTTACCGAGTGAGTCAGCCCAGGTGAGTGTCCAGGATCTTCATTTAGGAGCTATGCCCGGACACAGGTGCACTGTCTATTCCGGAGGCCTTCGGTCCCCCACTTTAGGCCAGCTAGCCAGGCGTGGTGCCAAAGAGAGAGAGGGTTGTGAGGAAGAAGGCGGCTGGATAGTGCCAAGTAAGAAGTCAGTGGTTAGTGGGTGGGTCGGGCAGTTTTGCTCTGGACCCAGGACCCAGGCCAGAGCCAAGTTCTCTGTTTATTGCCCAAGTCCTGGCAATAGGCATTGCCTGGGCCTTTGCCCTGGAGACTGGTGGTATGCCAGTCACGGCATAGTCCTGTGGTCTGCCCAATTCTGCCCTGTGGAGTTGGCAGGCTAGCTGATGCCTGGAGGATGTGCATGCTGCCTGGCACAGACGTCATGTGGGCTGGTGCGAGTGGGTAGGTGGGCACTGTTCCTGTGAGCCCCCTTTTAAAGTGTGGTCTGAGAACGTTCTCGAATCACACGGCCCCCTTCGAAGGAGGATGGAGAGAGCCGTGGGAAGCCGTGCGACCTTGTGGTGCAGGGCAGGATCTTAGCCAGTTTTGGGAATGGAGAGGAGAACGAAGGAGAATATGAATAAGAGACACATAGGCAGGTGCAGTTTTTCCGCCACTAAAATGCACATTCGCCCGGAATGGTAATTCTGAGAACGCAGATCAAAAGAAAAGGACTTCAGAGAAAACCTACTAATCAATTTGTAAAAGCTGTGGTTTTATGGCCGATAAAGGTTCTACTTTCGATGGCCTTACCACTTTATTCTAAATAAGCCTTTGCTTGGGCCTTCACCTCACACCTCTCCATGCACGCATGTCATACACGTGACACAGCATGTCGTACACGTGACACATTTAAAGGGAGCGTGAGCTCGCTCTCAGGAATGTTGCCAAGTAGCTGTAAAAGGGGAGGGCTAAGAGCTGCGTTTCAGATCGTTTTCCGGGAGCCCTCTGGTCACTTTGTATCCCAAACTCCAAACTCCCCAGAGACAGTGGGTCACACCAGCTTTTAATTCAGTTGATGTACGTGTCCCAATGGCTTCATCTTAGAGTAGGGAGTATATTGGGCTAGACCTGAAATTTAGATCTTGAGGTGATCCTGGTATTTGGAAATGCAGTCTTGACTGTCAATACCTGAACTCCGGTGTTTTGACGACAGCGAAACTGCTTTGGCTTTCAGAGACGTCCAGACTGAGATTTGTTAGAATTTATTATTCTCTTGAGTACCTCACAAGTCTGTTGCAAAGATGAAAACAAAATAAAAACAGAACCAACAACTCTGAGGTTCTAGCGACGAATAATGACGCTAATTCAGGACTGAAAAATGGAAGTAAGCCCCAGGTGCTGTGGAGTACTTCCGGGAATGTCCCGTGCCAGTTGATAAGAGCCTATGTGCTGACTGAGCTCCCAGTTTGAATTTTGCTGTATACTGCCGGCGTTGACAACCTTTTGGATAATGTGTAACAAGTATATTCAAATGAGGCCCAGTTAGGGTCGCTTGTCGGGAAGCAGAGAGATGAAGTGGCGGGTAAAGGCCACCTATCCCATTTTCAAATGCTTGTAAGTAACTTTATCATAACATAGTACTGAGGAGGGAAAAATAAAACCCTCTTGATTTCTTGAGGTTTTAGCTTTTGCCGTTTGTGTGGTCCTGGGCTTAAGGGGTGCTGGTGGGAAATACCACCGCTCCATTTTTCTGCCCAGGGTTTCTTCTGTTGTGTGTGTGAGCCCACTCCCTCCCAAAGAAGGGAGGTGGGTGTAACTTTGGTACTCCTTCCCACATGGCCCGCCTCGGCTGTAACACTAAGGCTGTCTTCCTGCTTAAGCAGAACTTTATCAAGAAGACAGGCTTTCATATTTTTAATCATTTTTTTTGCATCCAGAATAGATATCTTGCCATTCTAAAGCCAATTGTGTGGGTTTTGTTGTTTTTATTCCCAATTGCCACCAGTTCCCTAGAATCTAAAATTTTAGAATGTAACAGATTTATCAAAGTTTCTGTATTTTGGTTCTGCAGTCAACATTACCCTGTAAATTCTCTGTGAACCAGAGTAACTTCCTGTGTGTTTTTCTGTAGTTCCACCGACTGCATTTTTTTAAACAGTACTAACATTTTATTAACTTTTCTCATTGTCTAGTCACGAGGGTCATAGAAGACTAAATTGGGATGTTTTTTCTAACATGCCTGTAAAATGTCCTGTGTCTAGTAAGCCAGCGTGACGCTGTCTCAGATTCGTAATTAGCTGCACCAGACGTGACCTGCCCTACTCTGGGCCAGCAGCTCGGGCAGACCTTGGTCTGCATGCTGTCCAGAAGCCACATCTAGTTTCCTTTTTTTTTTTTTTTTTTTTTTTGGTTTTTCGAGACAGGGTTTCTCTGTGGCTTTTTAAGAAGGCTCTGCTCACTTTTGAAGAGCATTAGTTAAGGAAAATTATACTAGATGCATTTCTTGGGTTTTCATAGGCTCCTGCTTTAATTAGGGATACGGTTTTACATTTTAGTCTACTTTTTAAACAGGGTTGCCCAGGCTATCAGACATCATCGCTGTCCAACAGAGACACATTGCCTTTGGGCAGTGCTCTGTTAAATGTGACAGTGTCATTGCTTGTCATTGGGTGTGACTGGTAGAAGAGTGATTTGACGTGATCTGGATGAGAGTGACTGCAATGGTCTATAACATGGTCCCCACTTTCCTAATGCTGTGACCCTTTAATAAATATAGTTGCTCATGTGTGGTGACCCCCAACCATAAAATTACTTTTGTTGTTACTTCATAACTGTAATTTTGCTACGGTTATGAATCGTAATATAAGTATCCGACATAAAGGATATCTGATATGTGGACCTGTGAAAGGGTTGTTTGACCCCCATAGGGGTCGCGACCCACATGTTGAGAACCTCTGGTCTGTATGTATATGAGCAAGAGGTTACTCACGGTAGCATGGAAGCATGTGTCTCCTGTTTCATTTCACCGTGAGTCTTCCCTCTAGTTCACTAGGTCCCGAACTAGCAGAAATATTCAGGTATGGCTTCAGGATATTCCAAGCACAGTGCTGCTTGGCTGAGGTGCTTGGAGTCCTAAGTAGACTGAATTAAAGCATCCCCAGACTTTGCTTACGCCTGCCTAGTTTCGATATTACTCTTTTCCTTTGTGGCATCCTGTTTTCTTATCCCCAAAGTGCCCCTTGTTTTTGTTGTTTTAATACAGGATCTGGCTAGGTAGTCCTGGCTGGCCTAAAACTCACTATATAGACCAGGTTGGTCTCAGACTCACAGAGGTCCACCTAACTTTGCCCCTGAGTTCTGGGAGTGTGCCACCACTCCCACTGTCCCCTAGTTAATATCCACAGTCTTTCCAACACGTGCGACTTCAAGGCCTGTCTGTCCTGTGTGTCTGCTCTTCCCCCACCCCATTGTCAGTTTAGGGTATCCTCGTGCTCCAGATTCCAGCTGCACGCACTGTCCTGGTGCTCCTGACCTTTAGCCTCACTTCTTCATAGCTCCTGTCAACTTAACCGTCAGTTGTGTGAATACTTGTTTAGTATCTGTTCCTCTCTCTCTAGATCACAGGCTGCAGGAAGGATATAAACACAATTGTTCTAGTCACAATGCCCAGTTGATAGGAGCACTTGATATATGTTTTTTTATGTATACATGTGACTGAATGTGATGTATCTGAGCTTCATTGAAAAATGGGATTAAGTCTGAGCAGGATCTTGTGAAACTCGAGAACAGTATTAGCAGCAATAAATGTTACATACCCTTATGCAATTTAAGTGCTTACCTTTTAAAAATTTTATTTTATGTATATGGAGTGTTTTGTTTGCATGTATGTCTGTGTACAACTTGTGTGCCTAGTGCCCACAGGGCATTGGATCCCCTGGGACTAGAGTAGTTGTGAGCCACTATGTGGGTGCTGGGAATCAAACCTGCTCCTAACTGCTGAGCCATCTTTTCAGCCCACCCTCTATAAACACTTCTTAAATATGACGTTTATCTTAAAAGTTTTTGCTTTTTTGTTGTTATCAAAGTTAGGCCTTTAGTATACTAAGTAAGCATTCTACTACTGAGCTATACTTTCAGGGGTGTAAAAGTTTTGTGTTTTTTTAAAAAAAAAATAATTTAACTTTTATTTTATGTGCATTGGTGTGAAGGTGTCAGATCTCCAGGAACTGGAGTTATAGACAGTTGTGAACTGTCATGTGCTGGGAATTGAACCTGGGTCCTCTGGAAGAGTAGCCAGTGCTTTTAACCACTGAGCTATCTCTCCAGTCCCCTTGTGGGTTGTTTTGGGGGGGGGTATCGTTCTATGTTAAAAAGTAGTATAGAGGTCCAGTGAGCTAGTTCAGCAGGTAAAGGTGCTTGCCACCTGACAACCTGAGTTTGATCTCCAGGACCCATGACATGAAAGGATAGGCCTAACTCCTGCAAGCTATCCTTTGACCTCCACACATGCATCATGGCACATGGGGGCTCACTCAAGTGTATACACATACACAAAAATAAATGCATTAAGCATAAAAAATCTTTTGAGGTTGTATGTGTAATTATGCGTGCGTATCTGACATTGGTACTCTGCTCAGTACTTCATTCTGAGAACTGTAAGTATGACTTTAATCATGCAGAGGTCTACTGGGAAAGCACCCTTGCTGGTTGCTGTTACCTCTCCTCTCCTCAGGGAGGAGAGCAAGTTTATTTGGTTACCCATTCCAAAAAGGCTAATCAAATGTCCCTTTGTTAGCAGTTCACAAAGCTTCCACTGAATGTGGTTTGTGTGCCTTGAATTCGCAATGGAAGCAGAGGGCAGCAAGGGGATGGTGAACCTCCATTTGGGTGGAAACCTTTCTGTTTAGTAAACTTGAAGCTTGGTCAGGCGAGACCACAGGAGGTGCTCCTACGGTGGGTGAGGCTAGCATTCTTTGCCTTCCTTTCTTTACCTTTTGGCTCACCTGGCTCATGCTCTAGGTAATGACTTCTTATGTCACTGCTCTTTTCATAGAGCAGTCCATATGCGAAGATTGCCTGTGGTCCAGCTCCTGGCACACTGACCATGGAGAGGAAAATGCCATCCAGAGAGAGCCCTCGAAGGCTCTCTGCCAAGCCAGGCCGAGGCCCAGAGGTGAAAAGAGTAGCTCGACCGCCCGGCGTGGTTGCTGCCGACTCAGACAAGGACTCTGGCTTTTCAGGTTAGCAATATCTCACTCTTCTGCCTTTTACTGAATGATTTGCATGGAGACATTTCTCCCTGAAACTCATTTGTGTAAGAAAAATAAGAAGCTTTCACACGCAGGATAAATAACTCTCTGAGCTGTTAAAAACGGCAATTCGGAAAACAAGGGGTGGTGGTGGTAATTCTGGTATCTCATGGCATATATCCATCAAGGCTCCATGGAGTTAGTTCTGAAAAAATAATTTGCTGTTCTTTTCAATTTAGACTTTAAACTTTCTTTTTCCCTTTTAAAGAATAATTTTTTTATGATTTATTTAACTTTATTTTATGTGAATTGGTGTGAAGGTGTCAGATCTCCTGGAACTGGATTTTCAGACAGTTATGAGCTGCCATGTGGCTGCTGGGAATTGAACCTGGGTCCTCTGGAAGAACAGTCAGAGTTCTTAACCGCTGAGCCATCTCTCCAGCTCCTGACTTTTAACTTTCAGTCCTACATTTCAAACTGTAGTTACTAGAAAAGTTATTTAAACGTGGACTGGAAATACAGTTCAGTTGTGGAGTGCTTGCCTAATATGCAGGAAGTCCTGGGCAGGGTCCCCAGCACTTCATAAAACTGGGCGAACTGGCACACGCCTGGAATCCCAGCTCTGAAAGGGAGAAACAGGAGGGTCAGGAGTTCAGCGTCATCCTTAACTACATGTGAGTTCAAGGCCAATCTGAATTACATGATACTCTATCTCAAAGACAAGTGTTTTTAAAAATGGTCAGAATTCTGTTGCGTTAACTCCTTTTTCATATCTTTTTGCCTTGTAACAGCATGAAGGTCAGTTAAAAGTGATGTGGTCATGTATTATGTAATGAGAAGCTGGTCCTTATGGGATTTTTATCTTTGTGTGAACATTAAAGTCTACTTTCATAAACCTAGATGATACAGCCTGTTACATAATTAGGCTATATGGTATAGTCATCATCTCATATGTGGCCCATCATTGGCTGAACCATCTTTATGTGGTAGGCCAATTATCATTTGTTAACAGTTGCCTAGAAAGTAATTTTGCTATACTTAAAAAAGTCCCCTCCTAACAGCTTTTTCTAGTAACTATACACTTTGTGTTTGGACTGTGATCCGTCTATCCCAGCTGTCAACTCCATTAGAGCTAAGAAAGCAGAATAGGAGGCTGGAGAGATGGCTTAGAAGTTAAGAGCACTTGCTTCTTCTGCAGAGGACCTGAGTTCAGTGTCCACACACACATCAGGTGGTGCACAGCCACTTGTAACAATAGTTCCAGAGGTCTGATTCCCTCTGTGGTCTCTGAGTACACTTGCATGTACTTGGTGAATGTTTATACAGACAGACAAACAGACACACAAATATACATAAAGGGACATAAACAGATTTTTGAGGGAGGATGGTGGAATATGTCTTTAATACCAGGACTTGGGAGGCAGAGGCATGTGGATCTCTGTGAGTTCCAAGTCAGTCAGGGCTACATGATGAGGCCCTTTCTCAAAAAATAAAAACTAAACACCCCCCTCAACCAAATCTTTTATTATCTTTATCATAATTTCTATTATTTGAGACAGGGTCCGTCTATTTAGTCCTGCCTGTCCTGAAACTTACTGTGTAGACCAGACTGGCCTCAAACTCAAACTCACAGTGATCTTCCTTCTCTTCTTCCCAAGTGCCAGGGTTAAAGGCATGCACCACCACACATGGGCTCAAAAGAAAAAAGGGCTGGAGAGATGGTTCAGTGATTAAGAGCACTGACTGTCCTTCCAGAGGACCAGGGTTTAATTCCCAGCACCCTCATGGAGGCTCACAACTGTCTGTAACTCCAGTGTTAGGGGACCCAACATCCTCACATAGACATGCATGCAGGCAAAACACCAATGCACATAGAATAAAAATAAATAAATTATTAAAAAGAAAGAGAAAAATGATAGTAGGGCAGCTTTCATGGCTAGCCGTCCAAAGCCTCCCTCAGAAGGACTGCCTACACCCCACCTCAGCCTCGTAGTCTCCTGCTGAGCTTCTTCTTTCCAGGGCTGAGGGTAGTACTACTCTAAATATTGAATTAGTGTCAACAGTATTATCCCAGGAGATTCTCAGGATGATGCCAGGGGATTTGGGCTTATTATCCTGGGAGTGGAGCTTTTTCTAGGGAAAGGTTTATATGTGTTACCCAGGCTGCAGAGACAATCCACTCCTGTAACTGACTTACTAACTTACACTGGGAAACACTGCTGTCAGGAAATCGAGGACTCTCCTCCTCTTAGATTGGTATGTTTCTGTCTAGTAGGCATGCTGAATGAGAAGCTCAATTATAAATAGAATATTACTCAGAGAGGGACAGCACTGACCCAGGGGATTAGAACAGAGGAATTAGTGTCCTGCCCAGGGACAGTCCAGGGAAGGGTGAGCCAGCCTGAAGTGCTTTGGGTTCCCTTCTCTGAATGGAGTTGCTTACCAGGTTTGTTGTACCATGAAGCCCACTTGAAACATCTATTAAAGATTTAGCTTCCTAGACCCTCCTAGAGATTCTGGTACTAAGGCTGGGGAAGGGCCTGGGAAGTGGGGCCTATAAAACAAGGTCGAAGGTCTGGAAAACACTGAAGGGCTTTTTTCTCTTTCAATATCACGTTTGCCTTTTGATCTGATTCTAGATCATAAAGGGTAATCCATGCTCATAGTAAAAGTCTAGTCACTTGGGGAGTCAAAGAAGGAAACAAACCTCACCCACAGTCTTTCTGTTTCCAATTCCCAGGACCATTGGCATTTAGCTCTGTCTTCTAAAGTCTCCAGCTTTGTCAGGCCGGTTGTTTTAATAAGTACAGTTCTACACAGAGTGGTGGTAAAAGTGGCCACCCTCATTCCTGTTTGAGGAGGCAGTGCCAGTGAACACTGGTCACTCTTGGGCAGGTTCCAGGGACATGGTTGCTGCCTGAATTATTCCAGTTGCCTTGGAGATGATGGAATTCTCACTTGGTCTTAGCCAGAAGCCTGGTCGAGAAGCACTTCAGTAAAATTTGCAGAACCAAAATGGATGGTATTTTCTATTTTAGTTATTTTTCCAAACTTATTTTGAGAAATTTCAAACCTAAAGGAAAGTGAATGAGTCCCCCACAACAAAGATGCTTTCTTTCAGATCCACTAAGAATTTTTATTTTTTCTTTATTCATATCCTCCCCTGCATACATTGACTTAACTTTTGAAAAGTAAATTTCAAACAATGAGTATTTCATCTCTAAATTTTTAGTATGAATCTTAGAAACAAGGACATTCTTCTATAGAATTATAATGCCATTATTATATACAAGAGTCAACCCTGATTGAATTCTCTCTGACCGCAGTCTATCTGGGTTTTTCCCATTGTAATGTCCTTATAGCTATTTGCCATTGAGAAGTGTGCATTGTATATAGATAGCCTGCCTTTTTAACCTTATTTAACCCAGAATAGCTTCCCATCTTTTCTTTCTGTTATGACATTTACATCTTTGAACAAGATAGGACTGTAGTTTTATAGAATGTTCCGCATTCTGGATTTTCTGATAGCTTCTCCATTTTGGAGTCATTAGATCACTGCATTGTTGATGTTGTACATATCCCAAAGCACAAGGAAACTGTTAGGTTAGTCTCTCTTTTTTTTTTCTTTTTTAAAAATATTTGGTTCTTTATTTGTATGTATGTGTCTCTTTCATAAGTTTGTGCACTGCATACATGCAGGTGCCTTTGGGGGCCAGCAGAGGGCATCAGATCCCCTGGAACTAGAGTTATAGGAGGTTGTGGCTCATCTGATATGGGTACTGGGAATTGAACCTGGGTCCTCTATAAGTGTTCTTAACTGCTGAGTCATTGCTCCAGCTCCCATCCTCATTGCTGATGGTACTCTGATCTGTAAAAGGAGACTGCACTTCAGTTTCCCAGTTGTCCAGACCCGAGTAATCACACAAAAACTATATTAATTGCAACATTGTTTGGCCAATGGTTGAGGCATATTTCCAGCTAGCTCTTACATCTTAAATTAACCCATTTCTGTTATTTTATATTTTACCATGAGGCTCATGGTACTGGTAAAGATCTGGCATCTTTCTTCTTTGGCGGCTACATGGCATCTCCTCGACTCCACCTATTCTCTATATCTCTGTTCAGATTTCCTGCCTGGCTTTACCCTGCTAAGCCATTGGCCAAAATGAGCTTTGTTCATCAACCAGTAGAAGCAACACATATACAGAAGGACATCCCACATCACTGATCCCTTGGTTAAAAGGTACTATGTACCAAATTTCTTTATTGTAAAGATAATCTTTTAGTTGGGCCTAGTGGTACATGTACCTCTTGATAAATATCTTTCTGATCACATAATCTTTGCCAAACTGTACAAGATAAAATTGTTGATGTTTGCATTTATTTTAATTACTTTGGACTTGGAGTCCTTCTGGCTCAGCTTCTAGAGTAGTGGGATTGTAGGCACATGCTACCACACCTGGTTTGTTCTTCTCTCTTTCTCTCTCTCTCTCTCTCTCTCTCTCTCTCTCTCTCTCTCTCTCTCTCGGTAGTACTCATGTATCCCTGACCTCAAATTCACTATGTAGCCAAAGATGACCTTATATTCCTGATCCTCCTGCCTCCACCTTTTGTTTTTTTTTTAAATATTTATTTATTATATATACAATATTCTGTCTGTGTGTATGCTTGAAGGCCAGAAGAGGGCACCAGACCCCATTACAGATGGTTGTGAGCCACCATGTGGTTGCTGGGAATTGAACTCAGGACCTTTGGAAGAGCAGGCAATGCTCTTAACCGCTGAGCCATCTCTCCAGCCCCTGCCTCCACCTTTTGAGTGGAGGCATGTACTACCAGACCGAGCTTATGTGGTTGGAGATGAACCCTAGGGCTGTGATGCCCAGAAAGTTCTCTGTCAACTGAAGTCCACGTTAGTTAATGTTTAGAATAGTCCAAGACACCTCTGTAACAAGGTACAACCATCTCTTGGTTTCTTCTAGCATGTACCTGGCTGCATTCCTTTTATGTGGAATTCATATAGGGAGAACATTTGTTTTATTTCTCATCACCACAACCAAAATATCTGACAGAAAGGTTTATGTTGCTCATAATAGTCTCAGTCAATCCTTAGAGGTGGAAGGTAGGCAGAGAAGCTTCATCTATGGGGGTAGAAGTGTGTGGCAGTGGACCAGGAGCAGAGAAAGCAGGCTAGAGTCAGAACCTGGTACAACCCACAAAGGCCTGTCTCAGCCACCTACAAAGCCTTCAAAATAGAGCCATGCACATCCCCCATCCCCACACATGCAAAGTGTAACAAAAAAGTTGTTAATATCATAAAATAAAAGTAATCACCTCACTTTGGAGTCTTCCACTCATTCCTCATGTACTCTGGGGCTGAGTGCTTTCACAGAAACCCTGACTGATGCAGGTTTCTAAGGATCTGAAGAAAGTCAAGCAGAGTGATTAGACTTTTAGAGCAAGAGCAATGGTTGTTGAATATCCAGTGAAATTTCCACCTCAGAAAACTCATAGGAACACCTGTCAAAGACGTTCCTTTCTCTTTTAGGGAGTCCATGGCTGGGTTACTAGCTGTTAGCCTAGAGCCCACGTGAACTGACCATTTTTCTGCCCACCAGATGGGAGCTCAGAGTGCTTGAGCTCTGCAGAGCAGATGGAATCAGAGGACGTGCTGAGCGCCTCGGGCTGGAGCAGAGAGGACAGGCTGCAGCCCAACTCCAGAGCTGCAAACAGTGCCTTCCCCGCGCTGTCCCCGATGGTGGTCATGAAGAATGTGCTGGTCAAGCAGGTGAGGAGGACCTTTGCCCATGGAAGTGTCTGTGCCTTCCTGTGCAGACACTCCCGCTGAGCAGGAGGAGGTTTCAAAAACTAGATAGAGTCACACTGATGGGGGAGAGTGTTACCTTTCAACTACTGATGCTGTTTGTTTCTGTTTGTTTTCTGATTTAAAGTTTTGGCTTTAAGATTTATTTTTTAAATTGTATGTATGTTCTGCAAATACTCTACCATGCCTTCCTCTGACCTGAAGACACCTGAGCTCACATGTACACATAATATTACTGAGTGTGTACAGACGGGGTGGGGGGGGGAGAGAGAGAGAGATAGAGAGAGAGAGAGAGAGAGAGAGAGAGAAGAGAGAGAGTGTGGGGGAGAGAAAGAGAAGAGTGAGAGAGAGAGAGGGAAAGAGAGAGAGAGAGAGAGAGCAAGAAATGCCTAAAAACAAAAAATAGACATACATGAGTCAGGACTTACGTTATCAATGTGTTACCTTTGGATTTCTAGTTCTACAGGGACCTTGACCTGCTATAGTAATGTATAATGGAACCAAGCCAAAAAGCCATTCCAGCAGTGCATTCTAACGTGAGGCGGAGCTCAGGGGAGAAACAGAAGGGTTTGTTGTTGTTGTTGTTGTTGTTTTCTTTCCCAGCTCTGGGCACTGAAACTGAGCCCTGTGTATGTTAGGTGAGCACACACCATCATACTACATAACAGCCCTGGAAACCTCTTTTTAATTTGAATTGATTTGGGAATTTAGGAGTATAAGAACATTTATAAACCTGCATGGTAGTGTACTCCTGTAATCTCAGCACTGGAGACACGAAGGCAGGATTGTTAGTTAGAGGGCAACCTGACATACGTAATTAACATTGTGCCAAAGACACAATTCAAACAAAGAAACACAGCAGGAAGGACATCTTTGCTCCAGCAGCAGAGGCAGTTTTTAAGCTAGAGACACACCTTGGTGACAGGGCAGCTCTGTGGGCTGAGGATGGCAATGCCAGAAGGGTGTGAGTCCATTGGGTGATTGTAAGTCTGTGAGTAGTTTGAACTGGACTGTAGCCCTGAGCAATGTCCATCATGTAGTTGTTATCTAGATGTGAAACACAAGTGGATGAAAATATTAGTTAGGTTATAGGGTCTGTGACTGAGAACTCATTCATAAAAATCTGGTTAAGTTAGATAAGTGATTTAAGTTGGACAACATTTAAACTTATAGTAATTTACTCTGAAAATAGGTACATTTATGTATTGGAGTATTGAGAATCTGGTTTTGGTGTTGACCCTTCCCATCTTAGCTGAGGTTCTAAGAACATGGCTATAGCATAGCATGGCACTCCCTTAGTGTTCGAACACTGCCTGGCCACTTCTGAAGAACACACACCGAGGTCAGCAGCGTGGGCAGCTGGTGAGTTCTGGACAATCATTTGAACATTTTGCTCGGTAGATCCATCTCAGCGGGAACCTCAGCTCTCCTCACTGAAATGAGAGAACATAGAGACAGGGAGTAGAACCCAAGTGAGATTGCTCCAGCCCACCAGTGCTGCCTGGCGCCTTTGGGTGTCTACTCCAGGCTGTTTCCCTCTCCGGTTCTCTTTTGCCTTTCTTGTTACTCCTTGTGGCTGGGTCGACAAGCCACACAGGTTACAGCCTAGGGTGGCTGCTCTAGGACGTGCAGGAGGGACACAGGACAGCTGGCAGGCTGCTAGGGTGGTTAGGAGCTAGGAAGCTCAGTGACAAGCTAGCCTCTTCTGGGTTTTGTTTTTTTTTTTTTTTGTGGGAAGGTATCTTTGTGTTTTGAGACAGGGTCTCCAGTAGCCCGGGTTGATCTTGAAATTCTCCTGTAGCTGAGGATGAATTTGAGCTCTTGATACTCCTGCTTCTACTTCCTGAATGCCAAGAAGATAGGCATCTGCCACCATGCCAGGTCTTATGTGGTGCTAGGGTCCAATAAAGGACTCCAAGCATGCTCAGCAAGCATGCCAGCAACTGAGTCGAACCCCAGCCTGAGCTTAGCATCTCTTAACTTTGCAGGAAATTGAGCTCTCTCTGTTTTTGTTGCCTCAGCTGTGCCTTGACTGTGCCACTATTTCATCTACCTCCAGTTTCTCTATCTGTAGCTCAGTAGTTAGGAGCACTTGTTCTTCCAGAGGACCCAAGCTTGGTCCCAGCACCCCTGTTGGACTGTGGCATCCTGGGCACCTGTACTCACCTGCACCTACCTAACACAGGCACACAGAGACAGAATTGAAAACAAAAATAAAACCCCAGATATTTTTTCAAGTTTTATAGTATGATATCAGATAAGTGTATTTTAGGCCACTTCCTCCCTGTTCTCAACCAGGGCTCCCCTGTGCATTAGGGACACACAGCACCCGAAGCATCTGTAGCTGAGCATCTGCCTCCTTTGCCCTGGGTGAAAGCTGGGAGCTGCACTCCCCATCCTGAATGCAGTGTTCTTTTCCTTGCTTACAGGGCAGCAGCTCATCCCAGCTCCAGTCCTGGACTGTCCAGCCCTCTTTTGAAGTGATCTCAGCACAGCCACAGCTCTTTGTCCTTCACCCGCCGGTGCCATCTCCTGTCAGCCCCTGCCATACTGGGGAGAAAAAGTCAGATTCCAGAAACTACTTGCCCATTCTCAATTCTTACACCAAAATAGCCCCTCACCCAGGCAAAAGGAGTCTCTCCCTCAGCTCGGAAGAAAGAGGAGCGAGTGGGGTGCCAAAGAAAATCTGTAAGGAGAGACTGGGACCAGTCCTGTCTTCCAGCGAGCCAGCCAAGACTGGCCCTGTGCTCTCCAGTCCTTCCACTCCAGCCCCACCCAGCTCCAAACTCACCGAGGACTCAGCGCTGCAAGGAGTGCCCTCCCTGGGGGCCGGTGGGAGTCCACAGACTCTTCAGCCCGTGTCCAGTAGTCACGTGGCTAAAGCTCCCAGTCTGACCTTCGCTTCGCCCGCCAGTCCTGTGTGTGCCTCCGACAGCACTCTGCACGGCCTGGAGAGCAGCTCCCCTCTTTCGCCGCTCTCAGCCAGTTACAGCTCACCGCTCTGGGCGGCAGAGCAGCTCTGCCGCAGCCCAGACATCTTTTCAGAGCAGAGGCAGAGCAAGCACAGGCGCTTCCAGAATACCTTAGTGGTCCTCCACAAGTCTGGTTTGCTGGAAATTACTTTGAAAACCAAGGAGTTGATTCGTCAAAACCAAGCAACTCAGGTGGAACTAGACCAGCTGAAGGAGCAAACCCAGATGTTTATAGAGGCCACCAAGAGCAGGGCTCCTCAGGCGTGGGCCAAGTTGCAGGCCTCACTAACATCTGGATCCAGTCATTCAGGCAGCGATCTAGACACATTGTCTGATCACCCAGTCATCTAGCACAGAAGCGTTTTCCAGTTACTTGGGTGGTTCTTTTACACTCTATCTCCACTTGTTTTCCACAGCCTATTTAAGAGCTTTCTTTCTAAACTTACTCACAAAGCCACGTGCCAGTCCCTGGCTGCCGTCTTAATCTGTGGTTCACGCACAGGTTAAGTGCATCTATGTTCTCTGAAGACCTCCAATTGGAGTGTCTCTGAGTCCCCTTTCCTTAGCCTGTGGCACTTAGCTGGATCTTGGGACAAAGGCGAGATAACTATGGGTGTCTCCCAGCTTCCCACTCACTGTCCATGGTTCAAGGTTCAGTGACTAGATGAGTGTACAGAATGACACCTGTCAAACCAAGGACTCGGTGACCTAAGGAGCCCTTCACGGCCCGCCCTCAAGTATCTTACTCACAGAGAAAAATATGAGGCTGTGTTTAAATTCTACCAGGCATTGTGCCAGTTGGGCGAAACCTAAAATGCTTTGGGCACAGGTTGTGCCAGGGTGCAAGCATTTAATCACACGAGGCTTTGTTTCTTACACTTGTAAGTTGTGGGAGAAAGGGCAGAACATCTGATTCACACATTGGTCATACATAAGATCTCATAGAAGTAGGCATATACTTCAGATTTTTAAAATATAGACTGGATTTAGTACCATCTGGAATTGTATTTGATGAATTGCGTCTTTGATTAAAGGGTCAGAGAAGGCAGCATTTTTTGTCACTAGCTGAAAGATTTTTGTTAGTTCATGCTTGAAATAGCACAACCTGTCTTACATCTAAAAAGCCTGAGACAGGACTGCAAGACGGCTCAGTGAGTAAAGGTGCTTGCTGCCAAGACGGCTGAGCTGAATTTGATTCCCTGAACCTACAAGGTAGAAGGAGGGAACCGACTGCTGCAGTTTGTCCATCACACATGCACACCCACGCTAGATAAGTAAATGAATATAAAATTAAACAAGCCACCGTCAACATTAGCAATCAGAAGCTTGAGATGGCTTCGGTGGGTCCTCAGGCTCTGGTGCAAGTGACCCTCTGTTGTCTCTTGTCTGTGCCTCACCCAGCTCTTACTGTGGGGAAAAGTGACTGTGCATTTAAACTCTGGATTAAGTAAAGCCCTGAGGTTAGAAAAAGGCACAAAAGTCAGAGAGGATCCTTCCCTGTCCTCACGTCTGAGTTCTGCCCATCCCCTGTGGTGATGGGGAGCAGTGTGGCGGCCTTGTGTCTCGTGTAGCTGTGGCAGCAGGGCTGAAGGGTGGTTCTTCTCTCAGAGGCTGACCTTAGGGATGGAGACTCTGAGGGTCCAGATGACACATTCTTCCCAGCTCCCCTGTGCTGGTAACCATAGCCTAAACAGTAAAGAGTCAAGGGATTCTATCCTCTTGCTTAAAATTTTTATCCCCTTAAAAATCTTTTTCCTTCGCAAATTGGTTTTATGACCAGCATCATCTTTCTGCACAGAGAAAGATGCTCACGGGGCTATACTAGATCCAGGGTTAAGGGTCATAGGGTTTTTTGTTTGTTTGTTTGTTTTTTAAGATTTATTTATTTATTATGTATACAATGTTCCTCCTGCCTGTACACCCGCACACCAGAAGAAGGCACCAGATCTCATTACAGATGGTTGTGAGTCACCATGTGGTTGCTGGGAATTGAACTCAGGACCTCTGGAAGAACAGCCAGTGCTCTTAACCTCTGAGCCATCTCTCCAACCCATGGGTCACAGTTTTTAAGGAGTTGGTTGTAAGACTCAGGTTAACTACTGTGTTCATATAGACATATGATTTGGATATGACTAGTTAAAAAATAATCAACTTGGTAAAATCTCTTTACTCTCTGATCAGTGCAGAATCATTACCTGCTGTTTGTGCTCTGAAAGAGTTTCCAAAATCAGAGCCCGTGTCTCTGGGCAAACTCAGCTCCTCGTGATATGCCTCCCCACAATCTATATGGTATCATAGCCACTCCACTAGGAAGCTTCCTTTTTGGCAGAATGTCTGGCAGGAAAGCTGTAGAGACAGGTGCATTCAGAACAGCCTGGGCACCAGCCGCGAGTTTTACCGAGCGTCAGAAGGCTGGAAGCACTTGCTGAGAACCAAATGTACTCCACTGGAAAAGCCCTCAGTGGAGCTAAGCCTCTTGGACTCTTGCTCCTAGATATGGCTTTTCATATCCCTATCTCCATAAAAGACGATGAAAGCCACCGTAGATCTTCAGGGTTCGGTGGCAGGGAGGGTTACCGCTCCTCTGTGATCTTAGAGCCATAACTGCAAGTCTCTAGGCTGTGTTCTGTTCCTGGTGGAGCTGGAGGCAGATGGACGCTAGTAGAGAAGCTAGATCTTAGAAGGAGCGAGCCTTTGAGGTCAGAGGCTAGACCAGCGTTTGGAGGAAGCCTGGAGTGGACCGGAAAGATCTTCATTGGTTGCCCAAAGCTGTAAGTAGCAACAGCCGCAGTGGTGCATGCTGTAGGTCCTGATGAAGCGTTGTGCAGGGCTGTTGTTTTCCCAAGGTGAGAAGTCAGTTTTTGCTCAGGCCAGCCCATAGGAGAACCTTTGTTGGGTTGTATTGACAATATTGGAACACATTTAGAAAGGTTCCTGATTGAATTAGGTATAGAATTTACCGTCTGTAATTTACTACATTGTTTTATGGATTATAGCATCATCTGACTTCTCTGGTGTGATTCCTCAGCACACAGTTACTCTTGCACATATACTGAAGTGGCTTTTCCGCCACAACCTCCTTAGGGTATAGATTTTACCAAATGTGAATCTTTTCAGAGCGTGTGAAGTTATATAGAAACTGACTGTGAAATGTCAGAGGAAAAAAATAAAAGTCACTTACTTGAAAACTATTTGCTTTGTAACTGCTTGAGACTTCCAAGCACGGGGCATGTAGCCCTTGGTAGAGTATGTGCCCAGTGTGTGTAAGGCCTGGGCTCCACCGCAGCACCTCTGCCTTCCCAGACACTCCTTCATGACAGCCTTTCGTCTAGGGTAACTGTGGATTGCTACAAGTTTCAGACATCATTTTGTGTTATTTGGGATATGGAACTGGATGCTGGATATTGCAGACTGTTCAGACTTCGGTGCTGTGCACAGACAGCCCGAGTCGTGTGCCGATCTTAGAGGTGGGAGAACGAGGGGACTGTCCAGTGACCGCTCCATCTGGCACCACAGAGAACTTTAAATGACAGTAGCTATAGCTGTGTACTGGGATGAAGCAAAGGCACACAATCTGAAGCTCTTTCTACAACCGAGGTCCTCAGCAAGTGTGTCAGCCCTCTGTGCTCTACAGGGAGACAGCTTCCCTGCTTCCCAGTCCAGCCAGCAAATGCTTCCTGCATGTTTGGTGCTGGGAGTTTAACAAGTTTACTCTCATGGAAAGATCTGGAGGGTTGGCAGTGTAAAGTCCTCTAGAACTATTTCTGATCCACACAGTGGTCTGAGTGACTTTAAAATATGGTTGTAAAGCCACTAAAGTGAAATAAAAATGGGTAAAGATTGCCCAAGAAGGCCTTCTGAAATAGAGAGACCATCCTTCTCCAGAAGCGGCATCCAGAAAAGGAGGAGAGACAAAAACTAGAGCCTGTGAAGCATGGGAGAGTCCAGTTCCTTGATCAGTGTCTCCTCATCCACCCCACCACGTGGTTCCCATGGGAGGAAGCATCCGGGCATCTAGGGCTGCCTGTTGGTGAGCATCCTGTAAAGCTACATCTGATAGCCTCCACTACAGTTCATAGCCTGTTTTTCCATGTCTCTGGAGGCTGAACCTAGCGCCTCAGGCACGGCAGGCAGCTGCTCTGCCGCTGGGTGAAGTCCTGTCCTGCCAAACCTACTATTCCTGGTGACTTGGCTATGTCACGTAGCCTCCGAGCTGACTAATGAAGCAGCAATTATCTCTAAGGTTCTCCCCAGCATTGCCGTTTATGAGGTCTGTGGCTGTGGCTCAGCAAGTCTGCCCGTCGTAGTGGCCTGAGTCGACCACTGAGCCCCATATGCTAGAAGGAGAGAACTGGTCCCTGAAAGTTTTCTGACCTGCACATGTACACCATCATGCACACAGTCCCGCTCCAAACACACACACACATATAAATGGAATTTTACAAGTTGATTTTTAGAAAAGACCTGTAGCTGCATTAGATGAGCCATAAGTAAAATCATCAGGCTAGAGAGGACAAACTTGAGGACCTTAGAACAGGGATTGATTACCTGTGTGGTAGTGCGGTGACTATGTCAGTGTCGGGTCAGATTTCACCTGCGGTATGACTCTGGACAAGCATGTTGTCAGTCTGCTGTTCTTACCTTTCTCGTAAGTACCTGATTGCCGCCTGCACATTTGCTCATGACCATATAAAAACTGCCTTCAGCCAGACATGGTGGTACATGCCTTTAATCCCAGCACTCAGAAGACAGAGGCAAGTGAATCTTTGTGAATTTGGGACCAGCCTGGTAATCAGAGATCCAGGACAGCCAGGGCTACAAGCAAGACCCTGTCTGTCTCAACAACAACAAAATGCCACATTCAGATATTTTTCTTGCTTTGAGATAATATCAGCCCAGGCTGATCTTGAACTTGTGGCCCTCTTGCCTCAGTTTGCCAAGTAAGACATTTACTTGTTTGAGTGCTGAATGAGGATTGAACCCAGGGCCTCGCATCTTAGACAAGCACCGTGCCACACTGAGCTACATCCCTAGTCCTTCAGAAAAGGACTTATTTTTGTGTATGTGGTATATGTATGTATGTATGCATGTGCACATGGATGCAGATGTGTGCTCAGGTGTCCTCTGCCACACTCTGCCTTATTCCCTTGAGACAGGGTCACTCATTGGATCTGGAACTCCATGGTTTTTAGTTAGACTGGTGGCCAGCAAGTGCCAGTAATCCAGTGTCTGACACCCCTTGCTGCTGGAGATACAGGTGCACGTGACCACACATAGCTTTTACACGGGTGCTGGGGATCTGAACTCGGGTCCTTGTGCATCAAGCACTCTTCCTCACAGAGCCGTTTTTCCAGCCTCAAACAAATTCTTTTTTTTTTTTTTTTTTTTTTTTTTTTGATTTTCGAGACAGGGTTTCTCCGTAGCTTTTTTGGTTCCTGTCCTGGAACTAGCTCTTGTAGACCAGGCTGGCCTCGAACTCACAGAGATCTGCCTGCCTCTGCCTCCCGAGTGCTGGGATTAAAGGCGCGCGCCACCACCGCCCAGCCTGCCCTGGCAGCCTTTGTCTCTGGCACTGTAGTAGAGAACAGGATGGGACACCCCGAGATCACAGCATGAAAGAATAAATCTTAAGCCTTAAAATTGCAGAGCAAGGCATGTATGTAAACCCTGAGATGGAATTCAGCCTCAGAAAGGCTGTCACGTGCTTGGGGGTAATTAAGACTCCACTGCCAAAATGTATAGTTAGAGTTAATCCCAAGAGAGCAAATGGTACCCCAGGATGGCGACTGTGCCCGGCTTCCTGGAAGGACATGTTCTGTGGGTCCACACGTGACTGCTTTGACTTCTCCTCTAAGAATCCTTCCTCGTTCTTAGAACACGTGGCTTCCCTGTATTTCTGAGGGTTGGTTATGCAAGACATTAGAGAATTGCTTGAAAAAAGTCTGCATGATTCCTGCCGAAAACTTCAGCAGCTGGAGATGAGCAAGAAAGTGAGAAAAGCCCGTGGCATACTGAGTGAACACAGCGAGTGGGCGGAAGCTGGCAGGAAACGAGGGGGGCTTTAAAAAAAACACCGAGAGTGGGATTTCTGAGGCTGGCTCTTCTGAGGACCTTGGTCAGGATGAATGCTCGTGTTCTCTGCATGGTTTTCAGGAGTGGCTTGAGAGCCTCGGGGTAAAAATAGATGCTTTTAATTTTCCTATTGAGTTTTTATCTTAAGAACTGCAGTGGCCTTGGAAGAACACTCTATCCTGATAAAGGCCCTTGTAACAGCAGTGGTCTCTGTTCTCTGGGAGGAGTCCAGAAGCTTTGCCCACTGGGTCAGCCCATGAGAGCCTGGCACCCTTCATTTGGTGTAATAGTGAAAGATCAGAAACCCTGGAAAATGGAGATCTGCGCAGACCTCCTGATGGAAACCATGTCTTCACAGAGGCTGTGTTAGAGTGGCCACCTCCATTGCTTCTAGAATGAATACATTGACCCTGGAGGGGCCAAAGGAGAGCTTCCCATTGGCCCCTGAGGGTTCTTTGCAATGAATTGAAAGCATCCTGTGAGGAGAAAGAACTTTGCATTTGTGAATGGGGAATCTCAAGAGAGTGCTGGCTCAGTAGGTAACCTAGCTAGGTGCAGGGCATGGAGGAGAGGGAAAGTGCAGACGTGTCCAGGGGTGATGATATTAAAGAAGAATATAGCTTCTGACAATATGTGACGTTCCTCAGCCTCCCTTTCTAGAATATTGACTTCCTTGGGAAGGGATGTCTTTGACAAATCTGGGCTTTCATCCGATAAAGGAATAATGGAACAAAGGCTCTTCCTGTGTCTGCTTGTCAGCCTAAGAGCCTCTAACCAGCACTTAAGGGTAGCGTGTGTGCGTGTGTGTGCGTGTGTGTGCGTGCGTGTGCGTGCGTGCGTGTGTGTGTGTGTACATGCCCTGGTTGCAAGAAGCTGGAGCAGGAGGACACTGGAAGTCTTCCTCTATTGCTCTCAACCTTGTCTTAGTACAGGCTCTCTCCCAGAACAAGAATCACAAGATCTACCTGTGTCCCCTTCCCCAGTGTTAGGGTTACAGTGCTTCGAATTCAAACTCTGCTTCTCATGTTTGTAGAGCAAGCGCTCTGACCATCTCTTCAGCCCCTGGGGTAAGATCCCCTGGGCTCGTTTACTTCAGTGTTAGGGGGAAGAAGAGAAATGGGAAGAAGGCATACACTAACACAATAATCTCAGGACCCCCAGCATCTTTGACATTCGGGGTAGCCTGGCTTTCAGGCTTTGGGGCCTCCTGTGAGCGTTTCATTCTGCTGCCCTCTGGTTTTAAGCAGGCTCTGGGCCACTCTGTCTTGAGGGAATGTACGCAGACATCCACCTAAGCAAACTGGAAGGTCAGCAGGCACGGCAAGCAGCCCACAGCCATGGGGACTCAGCCTGGAATCACAGCAGAGGCGTGGCCTGAACGGTTGTCCCCTGCCCTGTGGCAGGCGGCTAGGTCAAGCTAACCTAAGGAGGAAGCCTCTTTCAAGGCTTCTCCAACGGATGCTCATCAAACCACGGTGTAGGCAGAAAGAAGCATTCCTTGTCCTGGTTGGTGACTCTTTCACACTGCGTTTTTTTCCAGGCTTTAGCTGTTCCATGAAGCCCACGTTACTAACACTGCTGATTAGCCTAGTCAGGTCGGATCACAGTGATGGTGCCGTTTCTGCTCATAGCCAGGACGGGCTCCTTGACCTGTCCACTATGGGAGGATTAGGATGAGTGTGACCTGACTGGGCCGCACTTCCTTTCACTGTTGCTGTTGTTTTCGTTCTAAAGGAAAGAGATCTGGGTTTCACAGAGCCAGGAGAGCAGGCACCGGACAGTAAGGGTCAGCCCCAAGGAGATTTCCCTTTGAGGAACCTTAGATACGGTCCTCAGCCTTCAGTTGCTCATTTGCCCCCTCAAAGATTTGTATTCTCTAGGGCTGGGGATGCAGATCAGAGGCAGAGTACTTGCCTAGCGTTAGAAAAGCCCTGGGTTTGAGCTCAAGAACTGAAAATAAAGTGTTCTCTACTGGGAAGCCCATCTGGCCCAGGGAAAGCTTGACTAGGGGAAAAGTTCGGAGTTAGTACCAAGAGTGGCGCTACAATGCCTGTGATCCTGGTACTTAGGAGGTAGGGGCAAGAGAACCAGGAGTTCAAGTCCAGCCTGGCTACATTTAACACTGCCTCAACATCGGCTCAAACGCATCTCCCAAAAGACCCCAAAATAAAACCACACACACACAGTGTGTTCTCCAGTCTTGGCCATTTTCTCGTCTGAAGGTTTTAATGATTTCCCAGCCTTCCCTGACCAATGCAATGCCATTGTTATTTCGGGGCAACAGAGTCCAAAAATTGTCAATGTGGTTTGTGGTCCAGTTTCTGCCCTAGCCATGTGATATATGATGGCTGTTCTGGTTTGCTTTCTGTCGGGTTAATAAACAGCGTGACCAAAAGCAAGTTAGGTGAGGAGTAGGTTCATGTGGCTTCCACTTCCAGGTCATAATCCATCATCGGGAAAGTCAGGCAGGAACTCCAGAAGGAACTGGAATAGAAACCAGAGAGGAATACCTTTCCCATACATCCCAGGCTAGGGTGGCGCCACCCACAGTGGGCTGTGCCGGCCTACATTAGTCTCTCACATGACCACAAGCCGATCTGATGGAGACAATTCTTCAGCTGAGGTTTCCTCTTCCTAGGTGACAGTTGCTTATGTTGAGTAATAAAAACTAAGGAGGATAAAGACTAAAACAGGAGGACACCAGTGACTGTTATACCTTGGACGGCTTCCTTCTCAGCAGGCCCGAGACACCGCAGCCAGCTGGGTGTGTGA